TTTAGGGAAATGTATATACTAAAATACTATACTTTCTAATAGATAGATTTATCGTACTTCACAAGAAGTAGGTATTTTGCACATTAACTTTTGACTTGAAAACGGGAATGTAAAAAAGTTAACATTGAACTGGTAATCTTGAAATCATTTAAATTTTAAATTTGGTGTAAAAAAACTAAGATAATAATTAGAAATCTAAAATGTTGCTTTTTTCGTTAAACCTTTAAGATAAAGCAAACATAATGCTATAGGTACATAAATGTAAATGTGTATTAAACTGAAGACAAAAATAATATTAAAAACTACCGATTTTAATTAGATTTCTGTTTTTATTCAACACACTAAACAGCCAATCATTAAATTACATTTTCAGTATGACTATTAAATTTTCATATTGAAAATTGTGATGATGATTTCGTTGAAAGTTCTCGAACGCTATTATAATAAAAGAAATTATTCATGTTTCTTCATAATTAAACTTTAATAAATCCAAATGTTCTAATTCAAATATCTACCAAGTTACATAAGCATTTCCAAAATATTACTTAAATAATAATCTAAGTAAGTGTCCTACCCTTTGTAAAACAAAAGTATTATACAGCATACTCTTTAAGAGGTACATAAGATCTACACAGTTCAACGTTACATAATTAGTATACAAGTATAACTTTTTAGAAGTGTAGGTACATTTAAATTATACGCAAATCAAAATGTTAAAAAGAAATAATCGAAACATAAAAAAAGGATAGTAATTAAGATATCACTCTTTGTATGATGAAATTAAGTTTATAAACTTGAATATATTCATGCATATAACTTTAAACGTACTGCATTACGTGCTATCAAAACCACAACCTTTTTTTTGAAATACCTCAGGTAAACCAATTAAAATGGAAAACTAAAAACTTAAGTGCTGTTTATGCAGATAGCTATCTGATACAGTGAGATAAAATTAAGTGTTAATGAATAATAATAAAATAATTATACGTGTTCAAATTAAATCATACAAATTAAATTAACTCCGGCAAAATTAGCATCGATCGATTAGAGTCGATACACCTACTTATACGAATTCATTAAAAACCAACACGGTTTTTTCACTTTTCGACAAGACCCGAATAAATTAGTAACCACACGTATAATATATTGTACAAATAATCATTATGCATTTTATAACACACCATTTAATCGTTAGTAACTATTTTTTAAGTAAGTAATAACAGTGTAAACGGTGTGTAATTAACACATTTCTTCAATGGTATGGGTACATATAATTATATTTCTAACATTAAATATTTATGATTTCAATTGTAAACAAAACTTCGAGCTCCCGAGGTTAAATGTATTCTAAAATACCAATAGAACCGATAATTATAGTACGTTTACACGTGTTAAATTATTTTTGATGGACGAATGATTTTTATTCGGTCGTCTTTTATCCAATACCTCAGATTAATACAAAATAATACTCATTTTATTATCTTGCAATACTATTTTAATCACACCGGTTGTATATTTGTATCAAAAAACACTCATTGCAATAAATGTTTAAGACTCGTAATTATAACACAATATATTTAAGAATATTCATATCATAGCATCGTAAGCTTACAAATTATCTACAACACACTCGATTGGTTTTCCAGGTCCAAGCGTGAAGAATAGTGTTCAATATAGTAAATCTAACGAAGATCAGGAGAAACCGATTACATCTGATATTCAAATAGTTAACGGTGCTATTGTTAAAGTCTTCGTAGTTTCGAAAACCTTAGAATAATTTAATTAGATCAGTGTTACAAGTTTCGTCATAATCATTAATGGAATATAATGGTAAAACAGTGTTCATGCGCGTGACTGTACGAGAAGCCCTTGTACTCGTCGTCGGTCGATGTCCCTATCAAGTTGGTTACACTTTTACAAACAAGACCGGAAAAGCAGTTTATTTTTTTAAACAAATAAATCCAGGCATGTCCCGAGTTCAATCGCATTCGCGTAACGCGTTCGTTCGTTTTCTATTTTAATTCGATGACCGCGATGAGATGCGCTCGGAGATTATACGGAACCGTGTAGGGATTAGAGCACTCAGAGAAGTGCACGTTGCGAACGAGTAAAAAACGATTAAAAGGATACGATTACAGCGATAATTAGTGTTATGTACGTAAAACGGGATATGCAACAAATTCGCGTGTTTGTCGCTTTTCTACGTGTTCACTGCCCGCCAGTATGCGATTATTTGTCGCAAAAACGCGTTGTTTTCCGGTCGTTTATTTATTCCAATCCAGCGTTACACGCACATACTCTGTGAGATAATCACGTGCGTTCGCGTCCGACGAACACCGACGAACGATGATCGAAGAGCTGCCATGACACAGATCATCATCGTATATCATACGAGACTTTGTAGAACGCTTATGTTATGTATTTTCGAATCACGCCTATCGCACCAATGCGATTGCGCAATAAATTCAGTTCGAAATGGAGCGATGAAATATCGACGTTTCCGATCGCAGGACAACGAGACCTCGACGGCTTCGTGTAGTACAGACGTTGGCGATTAGTCTCTAAGGAGATCCGAATGATATTAAAAAAGAAAAAACTATTCGTGGTCCTAAAAGAACTTAAATATTGGTTAGTATTTTTTTTTTTTTTTTTTGTTTTTTTATTAAAAACAAATAAGCTGTTGAGTGTACTCGTCGTCCGATGTAAATTATAGTATTCCCATAGAAATAGTATAGAAGAATTTTTGATTTATTTTAAATGTAGTGCAAACACTATATTGCTGTATGATTTTCGGCGTTTTTAAAACGCGTGATGCTAACCTAACCGGCTCGACGGCGTACGTTATAAATCGCAGTTGGCGTCGACGAGAGACCCGTACGCACATAATACCTCGTGCGCCGTCGACGGGGATGGGGGTGAATACTATAAATTACAGGGCGGCAGCGTGCACCGCATTACGGGCAGCAGTGGCGACGGCCGCCTGTCCCGCTCTGCCGTCGCTGCCGGTGACATTAATCTCGCGGACGTCCGTGTCTTTTTAGCACGCTAATAAACCCCCGGACGGGCATCGTCGTCGTCGTCGTCATCGTCCGACCCCTCCCCCGTACGATTTAAGGGGGCGGGGAGAAAGGATGTGGTGGAAATGAAAACGAAAAAAAATAGGGAAAAAAAACACCGAGAGAATTGTTTATCATTATTGTACACGGCGACGGCATCAATTTTACGGGCCACAGATCTCTGGCCATTGTGTGCCATCCGCGAACGTTATTGTTAATCGCTGCTGCGCGTGTACACACCCTGGTCGTCGTGTTGCACACACGCGCATGCCGTACACGCAGCAAGGGCGGAGGACACTGGCGCATCAGCGGCAGCAGTGGCGGCGACGGTTAGCGGCCGAAGCCCTACAATACGATATTACGCAGCGGTGGTGGGCTGCTGCAATAGGTGCACGCGCTACGAGGGACGTTATTATTATTATTATTATTATTATTATTGCCGAGGAGCGTGCGCAGGAGGCTTATCATTTCTGTTTCGTACCCCGCCCCTGTGTTTTATCAAAGTCCGTCCATCTATCCGTACGGTATATAATGCACGAAGTCTGCGAGCCCATTATTATTATTGTATATTAGGCGATCGAGCGCACCCGTCGGATTAAAACACTACGTTATACCATTGCAGCTCCACTGCCTCCCCAACGTTTTTATACGTACACATAGTGTGCAAGAGACCTCCGCCTCCGTTGAATCGGTTTGCTCATCACCGTGTGAATCATCCACCGCGTGCGTGTAACCGCCAGCAATGCCGCCGACACTATACCGCCGTAGCCAATTCGATAAACAACCGTAATTGTATATATATATATACACATTTATAAGTCCAATTCGTTCATTTTCGACTTTTTTTTTCACCCCTGTCCCCGAGAGAAAAAGGGGAGCGAAAAAACTGAAATTCGCGGCCGGTTTTTTGGTCGCGTGACTGCGGGAGGATATTATTAGGCATTCTCTCTGTCCGGTCCGCAGTAACTCGAGTGATTAACACGTTTCCAAAGACGGTGTAGTAAACGAACGTGTCTCTTCATTTACTGTGAATGAAAAAAACCAAATAAGTAATAATTTACCTTTGCCGTGTTCGTCAACTCTGCTCATATTATAATTATTACTATTCAGAGATTCTCTAAGTCTGTTCCGCGGAACCTAAGGTTTTCGTGGAACGTACGTATGTCAACATCGATAGTAGTTATTTTAATAAACAATAATCATGAACTATCTTTGAAACATTTTTTTGACTATCGGTTTTTTCAATAAATAATTGAAAAATTCAGATTAAATTGGAGTTAAAGACATTGGGCTTCTAAGATTTCCTAAGGGTTCCGTAAAATGTTGGGAAACACTACTTTCACGTTATACTTTTGTCAATAGAAATTGTCTGCTTTGACAAATACCAAAACTAGTATAAAAAATAATTTGAATCTAATTTACGTATTTCCATTTCAAAATTTTCACCGTCTATTGAGGATTTATGTAAAAAAAAAAAAATCGTCAACCCCGAGTACCTATTACGTTTAATATGTTTTATAAATCATTAAAATTAATGTTTTGAAAATAATTTAACTTTTTTTTTTTTATCTTTTTCCTATCATATAATTGTGTTCAAATGTCCGTCATGATCTGTATTTATACTACATTTATAATATAAAAACTATAGGTTTCTTCGTCCCTAAACAAAAACCGTAAAAATCTACAAAAGAACCACCAACAATAATGAGCTGTCAATTAAAAATGGTTGGAAATCTGTAATAAGGTCCGTGTAAACAGGTCACATAACTGTTTAAATTATGAACGTATAATCATATGTTTTTGTATAATCAGTATACTTTTGTAACCATAGGAGAGAAAATAAACAAGTGTACATTGATATTTTACATTCTAACATTGTGTGTGAATCACTAATAATTTAAAATACAGCGTAAGGATTACAACTTTATTTTAACATAACTAAAAATGCAAAGTCAACGATGGATATTCACGTCACCCGGCGGAGAAGACGAGTATAAGAAACCATCGATCGCTCGACAACATTACGGAGACACAATAGCCTTAAAGACGAAACAGAAAATGGAAAAAAAAGAAACAGAAAATGGTGAGTTGAAACAGAATAACGTTCACGGGGTGTGATAGATGGAAAAATTAGGACGCTTTATAATAAATGTTTCGAATGATCGAGATGGAAAAAATCCGTATATAAAATACTAGCAATAATAATAATATTGTTTTTCTACTTTTACGAAGAAAAAAAGAGACGGGAATTTGAAAGATGTACGTGGGAAAAAATGACGGAGAAAGTGTTGGACCAGATGAAAGAAGACCAAAATAAACTTAAAAAACTACGAGATGCTCAAGTAAAAGGAAGTTTGTACGGAGATTCATATGTTAAGCCCGGATTTAAAGTGAAAGAATTGGGCACCGTTATTGACGACGAAGTAAGAGTCTCTAAAATATAGTCTTTTTATAAATTAACTTATTCCGAGTGCATGAATTCAATTTACAATCTTCGTTTTACATCAATTATTAATAATGTTTGTATAAATTATTTACCAACGAACAGTGGATTTAATTCAATTTCAGGTATGATTTTTATCTTAAATTTATTAAATTCTTAATAAACCCGTATGAACAACTTCCAAACTAGCTGGACATTCACGTTAATAAAAATAGTGGTGTCGTAACCTTTTAAACTAAATATATAATTGTAAATTTCATGCTGAGTATCACAAATTGACAACTTTTATTCACTTACCACAATATTTGTTTATCCTTCATTATATATACTTATTGTGTGTTTTTTTTTTTTTTTGTTTAGACCATATCACACAAAAATTAAAATTGAATAAAAAAATAGAATACACAAATTTTTTTAAATTTTATTTACTTATACTTAAAACGTAAACATACAGTATTATTTAAAATGTACGTATTGTTTAGTACAATTTTAATTCAAAGCGTTCAATTGTCAATGAAGTCACATTATATATTTTATACAATTCAGTAAAAAGTAGCACGCGGGTATCTCTAATACTGTTGAATTTTATTTTAGCTTGTAAAAAAATACCCTCTTTACATGGATCCCAGCAAATCAACCTACTTAATGAATATCTTTTACAAAACAAAAGCAAGAACTGGCGGACATAGGTCCTATGAAACAATGTTCCGAAGAAACAACCAGTTCACTAGTCGTCTGAGCGATCCGAACGACATTCACGCTCCGGTCGGTCCTGGTCATTTCGCATACATCTAAAAACACTACATTTTATGAATATCAGTTGAAAATTAAATATTTAAACGCGGTTTTTTTTTTTTTTTACATTACTTAGTATGGAAATTCTGATTGAATGACACAAAATTCAATTTTTTTTTTTAAAAATTCCAAAATTAAAAAAAAAAATGTATGCGTTAAATAATTTTCAATTTTTAAGACAGCCATTTTCTTAAGCATATTTTTTAAAACAATTAAAAAAATATTAAAATTGAGTAAAAATTGACCAAGTTAGAGCAAGTTATGTTTTTGAATAATTATAATAATAGTTGTTATCTAGCAAAACATGAATGTCTCAATTTCATCAATCTCGATTGGAACGCTGACTTCTTAGCAATCTGTAAACATTTAATTATTAGTGGAGCTTTTAGGAAATATTAAAATTAAAATTCATATAATATTTTTAAACATGATTGTTAATAGAAAAAAAAAAGAGATTTTATTGCATAAAAACGAAAAACATTTTCTTTTATAAATGTTCGAAGTGACTTCCATTATTTATAACACAGAGCTGAAGTTTTTGGACCCAAGCGTTTTTAACATTTTCTCATGTCTCAGGTAAAATATATTGAATATTTTGTTCAATTTTGTCACAAATATCAGGCAATGAACATGACGGATACACAAAATTTTTCAAATAACCCCATAAAAAAAAAAATTCATTGATGTTAAGTCGGACGATCTAGGTGGCCAAAGCACTGGATTATTGAAATGTGAAACAATTCATTTTTTTATTATAATTATTCAAAAACATAACTTGCTCTAACTTGGTAAATTTTTATTAAATTTTAATATTTTTTTTTTTTTTTTAGAACTGTTTTAAAAAATATGCTCAAGAAAATGGCAATCTTAAAAATTGAAAATTCTTAAATGCATAAAAATTTTTTTTTTGAAATTTTGAATTTTAAAAAAAAAAATTGAATTTTATGCCATTCAATCAGAATTTCCATACTAAGTACTGTAAAAAAAACCGCGTTTAAATATATTAATTTCTCGTGGAGATATTAAGGGTAATACGGGACTTATGGGACATACTGTGTAATTAAACGATTCGTATAAATCAGTGGTTCCCAAACATTTTTTCTGCGATGCCTTTTTTTGGAGGATCCAATTTAGCCATGTTGCCTTTGCTGTAAATAACATTAAAGACAGAACAAAAAAAACAATCTATTGATAACCAATTTTGTTAATTTTAATAAAAAATTTACTTAAAAATTAATGCATATTTAAACTTAAAAAATAGATAAGTAAAAATGATTGATTTTATGATTATAATTATTACATACAAATATTATAAGGTTAAAATGAGAATATCCGACTATACAATAGAAAATATTACATTATTTGCTATAAATTTTTTACGAAAACAATAAGGAAAAACAATTTTATACATTTTAAACTATTTGTTATGAACCGTAGACCACGGTGCCCTTAGAAAGTGGTCGTGGTGCCCCTAGGGCACCGCGCTGCACAGTTTGGGAACCGTTGGTATAAATGATTAATATTTTCTATTCGGATAAAATAATGTAACCCATTTTGAGGTTGTCAGTTCGATTTTTGAATTAAGGACAATCATGTTTAATTTAATTTATATTTACTCGGCTATTTGGTCGAATTATATATAGTATATTGCGGTTACGCACACGAACGGAAAAAATAAGAAAAAACAACTGTTACGCCACAGAAAAAAAAACCAATAATCTTAAGAGCTTGTATACCGCCCTAAAACTAACTATTCCTGTTCTCCTAAGACTCCGTTTAATTTATATCCCGGCTAAAAGAAGACCAATAAAAAAAGGAGTACATTTCAGTTGCAGAAATCATTCGCTCTCTCCTTTTTATATTATTTAAAAGTATAATTTCAGGGCCGAACTAGAAATAGCTGCGGTGGAAACGTTCCTCCTTTTTTTTTATTTATCTTCCGTCTTTATCGAACGGGAAACAATTTGAACAACAGAGCTTTTATACTCCCGGGAGCTGCGCGCTCGGCCAATGGGAAACTGTTTATTTTTTTTATCTTTTCCCTCAATGTTTGCTTTTTACGGTCCGATGAACACGAAAAACCAATGCAAGATGTATAGATATATGTAGATAAACTCGAATATACTGTATTAATACCCGATTAATTATCATATTGCACAGCATCGATATTGCCGGGTCAAAAATAAAAGTAATAATACGAGAAAGATTTCGTTGGGGTTGAAAGCTTTACGTGAAATACATATTTCAGTGTTGAAAGTTTGCTTTTTGAAATATTTATTCGAAAGAAAATGTATTCGGAATGAATATACGTTAATTAAAACTGAAGCGGTGACAGCAACTCTCTTCGGGCTCTTAGAAAATCGGTTTAAATTGGAAAAAGAAAAACACCGGAAAAGAAAAACATAAAACACGTTTTACAATGCAAATCGCGTAAAGATCAAAGTTGAAAAATTCTGAATCGGGTCGGTTTTCCTTTTTTTTTTTTTTTTTTAACTATGGCGACTTTGCATATTGGATTATGCCTTTGACGTCGTAGATTTTTTTGCCCCTTCCTCAAGTTTTATTTTTTTATACATACCACCATCACCTCGGGGACTCATCATAATTATCAAAAAAAAAAAGAAAAAAGCGACTGCACAAAGAGTCAAGGAGACTTTTGATCAATAAATATGCGGCGTTCTTGATTAGAAAGAAAAAGGAATTTGAATAAAAATCGTGGCCTTATGATGGAAGGAAAATGTTTTTATTTTTTTCTTTCATTCGGCCAAGTACCCCTTGTGAATAAATTTACGTAAATCAGCTTCGTATATATTAATTTTTGTGTGTGTACACTTAATTCCCGGACTTTTTTTTTTTTTTTCCACGCTAGGGGTTTATTAAAATTTCGAAATCCAGTTTATTATTTACTTTCGAAGGAGAAAAAAAACAATTCGCCGCGCTTTGCCACGCGGTGCTCGGCCGTTCGCGGAAATCCTCTCGCCGCGCGCAAACACGAACGGAACGGTACACGTGACCGGTTTTTAGCGGTATCCAGAGCGGCACTAGCAATGTTTGGCCCCCGTTGAAAAACGAGAAAACCGAAAAACGATTCCGACGTCACGAAATGCGATAATCCTTACGAGCACACTGCGCCGTTCGGCCGTACACGTTTGCCGGTTCGTGTTGTATCTTACACGTGTAAAAGCAGTGCGCGCAAACGGAAACAGGACGAGCACGGGACGCGTGGGACGCGCGGTTTAAAACGAATTTCCGGGTAAAAGCGTACGGGGATACGGAGTCGCATGGCGGGTGGTAGGTGAGAGGATCGGAAATTTCGTGAAAAGTATTCAAATCCGCGGTAAAAAAAAAAAAAAAAAAAACCTTTTCGCCCCGTTCCAGGTCGGCCGCATATATCCGAATATTCTACGGGTGTGGGGGGGGGGGCGAGG